CACCATCCCCACCCCTGACCCGTACGCACCATCCCCACCCCTGACCCATACACACCATCCCCACCGCTGACCCGGACACACCATCCCCACCCCTGACCCGTACACACCATCCCCACCCCTGACCCGGACACACCAACTCCACCCCTGACCCGGACACACCGTCCCCACCCCTGACCCGGACACACCATCCCCACCCCGACCCGGACATAACACCCCCCTAGAGTCCTAGGTCTTGGTTAGTGGGCCGTGTTGTATTCCCCTGTACTGGTCCTTGCTCAGAGTCACTGCCAGCAGGGGCTGTAGGGGAGAAGATCAAAAACTTGTTCCAGTACACTTTTGGAGGTAATCAATATGCGGAGCATTAGTGCAGACAGCACCCCTGTTCAAGTAAACAAGGATTCTAAAAGATTAAAGTTTTCATGCAACCGGAGGGTCCATCTCCAACTTGTCAGTGGGTGACTGTTATATTCTGCCCAGCATTATCCTCAATAATGTGCTTACAACTTCCTTTTTGATGAAATTTGTTCTGAGCTGTCCGTGGAAAATTGTTTAGAAGGTCAGCAGCCAAATGTTTGCAAGCAATTTTCAGTTTATCAAAAAGGCAAAAAAGTAAAACCTAGCTTTAGAAACAACATTCACAAGAATTTATTTGCAGTTGAACTGCATCCATATGGGTTTTAGTTTTGTTTGTCTGGGAAATGATGACTTCTAAAGAGCAATTTAGGGTAAGGTGCAAAGCTTTGGCTGTCTCCTACCGCAAGAACATTTCGGACAGAAAGTTTCTGGTCTCAAGTATATTTGAGGTTTAAGATGTTAAACATTGACAAATCTTCCCAACAGAGAGGGAGAGAACATCAGCCACTGGGTTCAGTTGGGAGAGGGGGAATTGTGTAACTACTTAAGAAAGATGGGACATCATTTGCCTTTCCTTTGGAATAAGTAAGTACATATGCCATTTACACGCTCAAAAAGAGGAAAATTTATGTCTTCTCCCTCTCCCTGTCTCTCACCCCACCCTTTCCCCCCATTTCTTCAGTGTTCAAATGATTGTGCAAATACATGACAGCCTCTCATCACCTCAGCCAACTTTTTCATGTGTGCGCCTGCACATACAATGTTGGTGGCTGTTTTTGATCATGGGGAGCACCATAAGTCAACTGGAACTAGCTCTAATGTCCACACCCAAGTCCCTGAATCAGGCAAGGTTATAGGACAGAGATAGTAGGAACTGCTTGGCCTGCTGTGTTCATCCAGCTCTACACAAGGTTATAGGACAGATGAATTTCTTCCTTTGCCTCGCTCAGAATACAGAGCGTATTTACTCAGAAGCCATCACAGCCCAGGGAACAACAGATAATTCAGCAAAGATTGAGTCTTAGCCTAGAGCATTTACACACTAGACTGCTTAGGAAATACATTCATTTTCCTTTCATCACCTTTTCATCTCTAACAAGTAGAAACAATTTACTTTCCATCAAAATGAATAGAGTCACAGCCTGCTCTGTTTCTGAGCCATACGGTTTGGCAAAGTCTCAGTCAAGTTCAATTCTATTATTTAATAGTTTAAGTACCAGTTATTTCCTAATTTTCGATTGTGAGATTAAAATGAATATTTGTAGCAACCTGTTGAAATTATATGTCACTCTGTATGTTTTTTTTTAAGGGAGGTCACATGTCATCAGGAAAATTCACATTTGCATCGATGCCAAGTAGAACGTCATTCTCCGAAACATCTGTAACAAACCTCCTGTGAGTACAGTCATGTTGTTGGTGTGTGTTTCTTTCTGTATTTCAGAGCTGGAGAATTCAACGCGTTTTTAATTTGTGTTTGAGAGTATGTTATCTATTCTATAGTTGGCTATATAACAACAAATTACATTTATTCATCACGTTTAATGTAATAAAACATTCAAAAACAAAATATGAAACTGAGATCATAACATGATATTAGGTCAGATAAATAAAGGTTTAGTCAATAGCTGCTTTAAGGAGGTAGAGAGGTGAGGGGTAAGGGAAAGGTCTTCCATAGGTCTTTGGCAACTGAAAACATGGTCAACAATGATAGAATGAGTGAAATTAGGAATATTCAGAAGCCAGAATTAGATAAACAGGACACCTTGGAGGTTTGTGGAACTGGAGGAGATTTACAGAGGTAGAGAGGGCAAACCCATGGTGCAAGCCAAGGCTCAGGCAGCAGAGTTAACCTCAAGCTTAAGAAAGACAGAATATGAGAGACCAGCCAGAAATGCATTGAAATAGTTAAAGAGGTAACAAAGGCATGAATGAGTGTTTAAGCAGCAGATGAACTGAACCAGGGACAAAATCAAGTGACGTTATGGAAATAGACAGTCATAGTGTTAGCATAGTGATCAGCCGCTTATCTCAGAGTCAGATATAACGCCAAGGTTGTGAACAGCTTGATTACTCTCAGAATGTTGCCAAAGAGGAAAAAGGAGTTTGTTGCATGTGAACTGAGCTTGGAGCGCAGATCGAAAGCAATGCCTTCAGTCTTCCCAGTAGTTCAAAGGAGGAAATATCTGCTCATTCGCTAATTGTTATTGAATGAACAATCTTACCAAATTAACAACAGTGGGATGGTGGTGAGGTTGAGTTGCATTCATCAGTGCACACTATAATTTTGGATGATGTCAAGGAGGCAGCACGTAGACAAGAAATAGGAGGGAGATAAGGATGGATCCTAGGGGATCCTAGTAGAAGTAGCAATGAAAGAGCAGAAAAAGCCACTGATTTTCTGGCTATGATAAGTTGGATATGGAACCAGGTGAGATGAATCAGCCCCAGCTCAATGACAGCAGGAGATTGGTGCAGCTAACCATGTCAAAGGGTGCAGACAGGTTGAGAAGGAGAAGAAAACATCATTTATCCTTATTACAGTCACATAGAATGTCATTTATGACTTTGATAAAGCCCATTTCACTATTGTGGCAGGAATGGAAACATGATTGGCAAGATTTATACATGGAATGTGGGGGAAAAGGGTTACAGATTTGGGACTGGAAAATATATTTCAAAGGGATGTGGAGAATAAAAGGAGGTCACAATGAAGGTATACCTTCTTTTGGATGCTGGCTTGAGTGAAAGAGGGAGGGCAAGTATAAATATTTTCACTCATAGTGATAAAAAGCAATCAGGTACAATGTGGACATTACACAACTTTCCCCAATTGTAAAGTTAGACGTCAGCATTATTTGTTGACAAGACTAAATCTGCTTAATAAGTAGGAGACATAAGTATTTTCAAATATAATTATTATGTTGACAAATTATGGATAATCACAAGGTACATTAACATTCTTATGATATTGTCAAATTTTGATGACTGATTTTATTTTTAATATTCCATTTTGTACATTAGTCTTAACAGATGGTTTCTACAGTCATAACAAACATAAAAATGGGAACATTGGATAATTATGTTTTTCCCATCATATCTGCTGTTTATCTGAAGCTGTGTCCATGTGACTAGGGTTGACTGCAAGTGACGTTTTGCAAATTGATTTTGTGACTAGTTTCCATGATCTATTGAATCTTACAAATGCAAACAATCTACTTACTGCCATCAGATTTTATTAACTATCCCCTCTCTTGTTATGAACAAGCAATGGTAAAACTGCTTAATGTTTAGCCATTAATGAAATTGTGCGAGTCTTCCTCATGGTTTTATGTACGTTGACACAATACTAATCTTACAGTAATCAGCGCCTTCCATGCATGATATGAATTTTACCACACATTCCACATCTGTGTTTTCCAAATTATAACCAGTACATTAGTGCCAGTCGGGGACATATTAAAAAGCAGTTTCCTGCTGCAGGTTTGTCCACGTTAATATTGAAATAATGCTCAGACCAGCTAATCATCATCAAAGGGCAAAGTATTACTGCCATCATCTATCCCACTTTCTGACCTATTTCCCATCATTAAAATTACTTAATTACACATCCCTTAAATGTGACAATATAGTCTCAATGTAAAATTAAGCTAAAAAGAAAGTGGAAAAATCATTGCAAATTTGGCATCAATATTAATGAGCAGAATTTTGCCAGCCCTTGAGCAACAGCAAGCAATTTAGGACAGTGCGACAAGAATTTAAAAATCTGATTCTCCCTATTGAGGTAAGCATCTGATCTGTCCCTTAAAATTTAAACAGCCAGACAAGAATTTCAACTCTAAGCTGCAAGCACTTTATTTCCAAGCATTCGCAACACATTTATAGCAAATCACACCCTACACTTACACACAGTTTGTGATTCTCCTATACACTGGGGAAAAACAGGATGCATCAAGTCCTGGAAGTCAGAACAGTTACCAGGCAGATGTAGCTCACTGCTTGACTCTGGCTTAAGCTCCCTTCACAAACATCTCATTGCACACACTATGGGCTGTGACCACCTCTAGCCTTTGTCCATGAAAAGCATCAGCCTCATCATAGCTGATCTCAGACTAATTCATATCACACTTCAGCACAGCACCACTGCAGCTTGGGGCTCACAGACACCTTCCACTGTAATGCCCCTGCCAGTTCACTCTGCGCACAGGGTTACACACATATATCTCGTGCACCTGCATTTTATGGCTCTTAGGTTGCTTTTGCAGCATTCACTGAATTTGCACTTGCCTGGATTTTCACAAAATCTCTGCCCTGCCTTGCCTTTTGACACATTGCTGCTTCAATGAAAACTTATGTGCTCTCAGCATCTCTGGCTTCTGTCCCATTTTAGTGTGGACAGAAAGCCAGGCAATTGTCAATTTTGCCAGTATTGAACTGTTTGTGGTGGGTGGGAGGGAGGTCGGTATGGCACTAGGCTACATCAGTGTCACACCTACAGCTTGTGCCAGCTGTCGTACGCTGCATATGTTTCAACCAAATGGCCACAATCTGAAAGTGAAAGGGGACCAATCCGTAATGGAGTGAAGGAGGTACACAGTCAGTCTAGGGGTGGTGGTCTCTGGGGAGGGGTGGATATGTTTACATTATGAGGCTGGGTTTGGATGATAGTTGGACATTGGTTATCACCAATCCTTGATTGAGTGTGCACACCCTTGTTAAACACTCAGGTAAAACGCTCATGAATAATCCTGAAGTCATACACATAAGGTGGAATGAGTGCAGGCAAGGACCTATTACAAGGTGTTCACATTATCTTCGGTCTCAGTGAACTCCTCACTGAAGTGCTAAGTCTTGGCTATAGCCATGAAAGTAAGGGTTGCAGGATTTCTGAGATTTGTTGCTATCTAGGATGCTTCTCAGAGATGAGCAATGCTTCACCATTATAAACATCATTATAACATCATTGGGATGTATGAACAGGCTGCTTATCTGTGATGTGGTATGCAGTTAACCAGCTAAAATGACAGTGGATCAGATAGAGAGTACATAAATCTTTACAGTTATGAAAATCTACTAACACTGATGTATCACCCACGCCACCTTTGTGCCCTCAAGAGTTTCTTTTTTTAACTTGTGCTACAACTACGTCTAAGGGCAGTTTGGAGAATTTGATGAGATTGAGAAAATTAGATTCTTGACATCAAGGAGAAAAGTCTGAGATAACAAGGTGTGGAGCTGGATGAACACAGCAGGCCAGGCAGCATCAGAGGAGCAGGAAAGCTGACGTTTCGGGTCCGGATCCTTCTTCAGAAATGGGGGAGGGGAAGGGGACTCTGAAATAAATAGAGAGGTGGGAGGCAGTGATAGAAGGTGGATAGTGGAGCAGATAGGTGGAGAAAAGACCAATCCCCATCCCAACTCCCTACCTACACTCACCTTTACTAGCTTCATCCCCGCCTCCTTGACCTGTCCGTCTTCTCTCCACCTATCTGCTCCACTATCCACCTTCTATCGCCGCCTCCCCCTCT